CCCCAAAACCCCAAAACCCCAAAACCCCAAAACCCCAAAACCCCAAAACCCCTATATTTAAGGACAGTACTGATAATAAATTTAAAATAAAATAAGAATCAAAATATGAACTTTAATCGACACAGCATTCTTTTCTTTCTGGTCGTACTCTTATTTGGCCCAGTCTATGCTGAAGCAGCTACAGAAGGCAACACCAGCATTAGTGATGAAGATGAGCTCGAATACAAACTACTTTTCTTCAGAGAGGACTGCTATAACGAATTCTTAGACCTCAATTTCTTCTATAAGGACTGCATCTCGATAACGATCTCAAAAGGACTTGGCTACGGAATCATCCTAGGTGCAATGCTTGTAAAATTTCCCCAGATTTACAACATTCTGAAGGCTAGATCCGGTAGAGGAATCTTGCCTTCAATGTTCTACATGGAATGATTCATGTTTATCATAAATGGGTGATATAACATTCATTTGAGCTCGCCCTTCAGTGTATACGGGGAGAACTTCGCCCTGCTGATCCAGAACTTCGTTGTGATAGCTCTCTTATGGCTGTACGGCAATAAAACTTCTAACGTTCCAAAAGCTATAGTTACACTTTCCATTTTTGGAACTTTTTCCTTCCTATACTTTGACGCTCTAGTCCCTGATTTCATGTGGAAGTTGTTCATGGATATTCAAATTCTTATGGTGGCTTACTCGAGACTTCCCCAGATTCTCGCTAACTTCCGTTCTAAGTTCACCGGAGAGCTGTCAAGTATAATGTTCTTGGCTAATGCATTAGGCAACTTAGCAAGAACATACACATTTATTAAAGAGACTCAGGATGTGTACAACATGTTTACTAGTGGATTATCTACTCTTTTGAACTTTACTATCTTCCTTCAAGTCCTTATTTACTGGAAGAACAACCAGGTGTATAAGAACAGGATTGAAGTCAAGGATCTTGAGAGCCAGTCAAATGAGAGCGGAAGAACCTCAAATCCCGAGGAATTCACCAAGAAGGTTGAAGTCCTTGAGGTCTCAGAAGGAAGACCCTCACTTTAGAAATTTAAATTTAGGAAATTTAGGCATAACTAACTTATTTCAATACCTTCTTCACCTTCTGGGGTTTTGGGGTTTTGGGGTTTTGGGGTTTTGGGGTTTTGGGGTTTTGGGG